GAAGAAATCAAAGGAAAACCATTCAGCCGGAATCTTCAACATACCTATTCTTTCTGTTGCAACCGTTAGTTCGATTTGAAAAGTATGTAGGAGACTACTTAAGGCTCAGAAAGTCTTGTGAGTGAGGTATTTTGGATCATGAAATCGTACTAATTTGCTGTGATTAAGTGAACTAGCGTGAATATTTCAATCTTCTGACGTAGCATTGAAAGATTCACCGGTTACCGTTTGAAGTCTTTTTATCCTTTACTTCTGATCTGCTCATATTTATAGATTTGGTCATTGTTAGAATTAGCATTGAAAATAATCGAAATATTTGATGCAAAATTAATTTCATGTAGGTAGTAGAGACTTCATAAACTATCGATTGGTTAACAAACCTTTTTCTCTTTTATTCTTTACACTAAGTTTGTCAACATATGAACATACGAATCATTGCCTTTTGAATGTTCGACTGTGCTTTTAGCACACAATTTCATGTTGATTTCTTGCAGATCTCAAGAGTTCAAAGCGAAGGATTTCCATCTTCAGGCAACATAAGAAAAAGAAATATAAAATCTTTAAACGAATCAAGCTTATAAGTCGTATGTGAGTCACTACATTTGCTATAAATGTTATGTGCCTTATATTCTTGCCTGAAAAAAGACTTGTTAGTCTCAAGAGCTCGAAAAAAAGATTTCACATGGATTTTTCATTAGAATAAAATGGTCATTATAGCAGAATTATACTATCCACAAGAACTCAATTTAATGTATCGCCGTATGGTTTTAATCATTTCTGTCGTAAGCTTTTTCTTTCAAATAGTACGATTTGCAGCAGTAATATCCTTTTTGAAAGTGAGAGCAATAAAACAATGTTTGCATGAGGTACTACAGAAGTTGATCGATATTTTATTAACTCCTACAAGTCGAATGAAATTGACGGTTAGGACCGTTTTTCAGTGAAGATTTTGCGAGAGGCTGTTTGGTTTGATCTCAAAGCACTCTTCATCGTTTCAATAGATCCATAAAAACAAATAAAAGTATTAGGCCCATGCGAGTTTATCGACACAGAATAGAATGCAGTTCTACTTTATTTGGCCTTTTAAGGGCAGCCAGCCGTATTCATTTTTTCCTAGAAGATCTTCTGCTTTTCCCTTGCTTATTCTTGCGATAATCAGCTGCGCTACACTACAGTGAGTGAGTTCTCGCTGAAAGCACTTGCGTACTAAAGCTTTGAGAATGAATTCTTCAAAGAATGATTACATAAGTCGTGACTATCTTCAGAATTGGTCTGCATAAACATTGATTAAAGTTATGTTCAGTCAGCTACAAATTCTGCTGGTTCCATTTGACGAAAAGTTCAGAGGGTTAGATTATTCTGCTTCTCGATGTTCATTGACTGTGCTAGGCGGGCGTACGATTGTTCTTGTCATCCATATTCTTTTTAGGTATTGAAGAGCATTGATTTGTTCATTCTTACCGTATTCAAAGTTTACAACTACATACAACATGGGCAAAAAGACATCTTCCACAACTGGCAGGGCCGCCACTGTTGGAGACAATACCGAGAAGGTATCAGCGGCATCAAAACAAGTTATTGCTACAACTACTACTGCTGCTGGTACAGCTTCGTCGTCATCCTTTCGATCACGGCCGGCACGAATTGTACAAAATTTTCTTTTGGTCTGGCTTGATGCCAAAATCGACGAGAGCAAGGAAGATTTTAAAAACTCTCTTATACAACTTCGAAACATTGTTAATACAGTTGAACTATTTACTGATGTTGATCAATGCTTTGAATATTTGATAAGTATTAAAAATGAAAAAATCTTTTTAATTATCTCTGGAGCATTCGGCGAAAAGACTGTGCCCCTCATACATAATATGGCCCAACTTGATACCATCTTTGTTTTTTGTAAAAACAAAGATCGGCACAAAGAATTGGCAAAAGATTGGTCAAAAATTCGACGTGTGTCGACCTCAATCAAGTCGATATGTAAACAGTTAAAACGGGTAGCCCGCGAATGCGACCACAACAAAATATCGATGAGCTTTGTTCCCAAGCGGATAATGATAGAGGCAGCATCGGATCAACAAAATATTAACCAATTAGAACCATCGTACATGTATTCAGTGTTATTCAAAGAAATTATATTGGACATCAATGAAGATGATGTGATATCTGTGAACGATCTAGTGATCTTTTGCCGTCAACAACAAGTTCCGGAATCCCAGCTGAAGTATTTTCAGCGGAAATACCAGCGGAAATCGCCAATCTGGTGGTATACATGTGAAACTTTCCTATACGGCATGCTCAACCGTGCCCTACGGTCACTCGACATGGAAGCGATGATTAAAATGAGTTTTTTTATCCGGAACCTCCATCGACAACTGGAACAAGTGCACAAAGAACAATCAGACGCATATATGACAAAAATTATTCTTTATCGTGGTCAGGGGCTCACCCAACAAGATTTTGACCATCTAGTCGATTCGAAAGGTGGACTTCTATCGTTCAACAATTTCTTGTCTACCAGTAGAAAACAAGAGGTCGCTATGGAATTTGTTGAACGTACACTAAAAAAATGTGAAAACCATGTAGGCGTTCTCTTTATTATGACAATCGACCCAGGTACATTATCGTCATCGACTACGCCATTCGCGCTTATTGACGAATATAGTGCTATTGATAGTGAAAGTGAAATTCTATTTTCAATGCACGCCATTTTTCGTGTCGGCGAAATTGAACAAACGGTTAACAATAAACGTCTTTGGGAAGCCCAATTAACACTTACAGACGACAATGACCCACAATTGTCCGCTCTCACCCAACGTATACGAGAGGAGATTGACGGTATCGGATGGTATCGAATGGGTCAACTGATGCTCAAAGCAGGTTACTTCAATCAAGCTGAAGAACTGTACAATAAATCACTCCAGAACTGTTCCAGCGACAATTTTGAAGCCAGTATTTACGACCATCTTGGAACAGTGAAAGAGAAACAAGCCGCATACGAAGACGCACTTTCGTTTTACGAAAAATCTCTCGAAACAAAACGAAAAACGTTACCCGAAGATCATCCGACACTGGCTCTCACCTACAACGACATCGGTATCGTATACCATGACATGGGTGCCTACTCAAAAGCATTTGAAATTTACGAAAAAGCACTAAAAATTAGAGAAAAATCACTGCCCCTCAATCATCCTGATACGGCTGAATCCTACTACAACATCGGTTGCCTGTATAAAGATATGGGCGAGTATTCGAAAGCACTTGACTTTTACGACAAAGCCCAAAAAATACAAGAAATAGCACTGCCTCCGAATCACCCCGACTTAGCTACTTCCTACAACAATATTGGTCAAGTGTATAACGAGCTTGGTGATTACTCAAAAGCACTTGACTTTTACGAAAAAGCAAATAAAATCTACGAAAACGTTCTGCCTCCAAATCATCCCTCATTGGCTACTTCCTACCAAAACATCAGTGACGTGTATAACACCATGGGTGACTCCTCAAAAGCACTAGACTTTCACGCAAAAGCACATCAAATATTCGAAAAAGCTCTCCCTCCGAATCATCCCGATTTAGCTGAGTCCTACAACAGGACCGGTGGACTGCATAACGTCATGGGTGACTATCCAAAAGCACTGGAATTTTACGAAAAAACAGCGGATATCTACAAGAAAACCCTGCCTCTAAACCATCCCTTACTGGCTAATTCGTACAATAATATTGGTCTCACGTATTATAACATGGGTGACTACTCAAAAGCACTTGACTTTCACGAAAAAGCACATGCAATAAAAGAGAAGACTCTGCCTGCGAATCATCCTGATTTAGCTATTTCCTACAATAACATCGGTCTAGTGTATAACAATGTTGGTGACTATTCGAAAGCACTTGACTTTTATGAAAAAGCACATCAAATACTCGAGAAAGCTCTGCCTCCGTATCATCAGAACTTTGCCCTTTCCAACCGCAATATAGGTACCGTTTATCACAACATGGGCGAGTACTCGACAGCACTTGACTTTTACGAAAAAGCACATCAAATATTCGAGAAAGCTCTTCCTCCTAATCATCCCGATCTGGCTAATTCCTACGCAAACATTGGTAGCATCTATAACGCCATAGGCGAGTTCTCGACGGCACTTGACTTTTACCGAAAATCACTCGAAATAGGGGAAATATCTTTGCCTCCGAAGCATCCCGATTTGGCTTGCATTTATATCAGCATCGGTGGAGTGTATAACGCCATGGATGACTACAAGAAAGCACTAGACCTTTACACAAAAGCACATGACATATTCGAAAAAGCACTTCCCCCAAATCATCCTGATTTGGGTGGATCCTGCAACAGCATAGGTGAAGTGTATAACAACATGGGTGACTACTCAAAGGCACTTGAGTTTTACGAGAAATCACGGAATATACTGGAGAGAGCACTGTCTCTGAATCATCCCTCTGTAGCTACAACCTACTGTGGCATCGGTCAAGTATATAACAATATGGGTAGCTACCTAAAAGCACTTGAGTTTTATGGAAAAACACTGGAAATCAACAAGAAAACCCTGTCTCCGAATCATTCTGCAGTAGCTAACTCGTTCAATAATATTGGTCTGGTGTATACCAACATGGGTGACTATTCGAAAGCACTCGACTTTTATGAAAAAGCACTCAAAATAAGAGAAATATCTCTCCCTTCGAATCATCCTGATTTGGGTGAGTCCTGCAACACTATCGGTCAAGTGTATAACAAAATGGGCGACTACTCAAAAGCACTTGAGTTTTACGAGAAAGCAAATAGCATACTTGAGAAAGCTCTCCCTCCTAATCATTCTTCAGTAGCTGCAACCTACTGCTACATCGGTCAAGTGTATAACAACATGGGTGATTATTCAAAAGCACTTGAGTTTTATAGAAAAACATTGAAAATCGACAAGAAAACTCTGCTTCCGGATCATCCCTTAATGGCTAATTCGTACAACAACATTGGTGTGATGTATAACAACATGGGGAACTACTCGAAAGCACTTAAGTTTTACGAAATAGCACATAAAATACGTAAAAAAGCTCTTCCTCCTAATCATGCTGATTTGGGTGAGACCTACAACAACATCGGTCAAGTGTATAATAACATGGGTGACTACTCCAAAGCACTTAATTATTACGAAAAAGCGCATAAAATACTCGAGAAAGCTCTGCCTTTGAATCATTCTGATTTAGCCTATTCCTATATGAGCATTGGTGACGTATATAATACCGTGGGTGACTATTCGAAGGCACTTGATTTTTACGAAAAAGCACTCAAAATTAGAAAAACATCTTTGCCTCCAAATCATCTCGATTTAGGTGAATCCTGTAAAAGCATTGGTCAAGTGTATAATGCCATGGGTGACTACTCGAAAGGGCTGGAATTTTACGAAAAAGCACATGAAATACTTGAGAAAGCACTGCCTTCAAATCATCCCGATTTGGCTGTTTTGTATAACAGCATCGGTTCAGTATATCATGGGATTGGTAATTATACAGCAGCTCTCAATGCTCTAGAAAATGCTTTTCAAATTCAGCAAAAAATATTTCATAAAGATGATCCAGCTTTCGCTTCAACATACAGTTGGTTTGGAAAAGTTTATCGCAATATGAAAAATTATTCAAAGGCACTGGATTATTTTGAAAAGACCCTTGCAATAGATAGTAAAACGTTGCCTGAAACGCACCCATATCGGGCTATCACATACTGTAATATTGGTGATATTCATCGATTAATGGGAGATTGTGAAAGGGCGCTCTTGTTTCATCGAAAAGCATTAAGTATTCAAAAAAATGTTCAATGTAATCCTCTAGATTGTGCAACGACTTTTACGAATATGGGCGAAACTTATCGAAAAATGAAAGATTATTCAGTGGCCTTGACATTTTTTCAAAAAGGATTACAAATTTATGAAAAGAAACTGTCAAAAAGTCATCCTCATTTAGCTGTAATCTATCATAAGTTGGCGAAATTGTATTTGTCTACTCGACAATATAGTATGGCAATGAAAAATGCTCAACAAGCGGTAGAAATTGCTCAAGAGAAATTGCCTGCAAATCATCCTCATCTTTTGGACTATAAAGAAACATTCAAAAAAATTCAAAAGAAGTTTTAAAATTGTTTTTCTTTTGTACTCAGTAAATTCGTTCTCGTCGATATTTATCCCTTCTAGTTTGTCTCAGCACTGTATGACACTTCCATGCGCGCTACCAAGGAGATCCCCCGTACACCTGACAGTGGTGTACTTAAAACGGAGCACACCGGACTTGTAGAGCAACGGATGTAGGTATGACATACATAACAACGACAGAAATTTACGAATATAGTAGGCATTCACAAGTACTACACTGCTTTCGCCATATCATACACAAGAAACCTCATTGGATCAGCTAATGAAGTCGTCTGGGGTGTGACAGTAGCTCACACTTACACCCTCAATCTCGTTAATGTGTTAAGAAATAGAGACTCGTTTATTTTCAAAAGAGTTCATTTTTAACTTAGTAATTGCTCATTCGAATACAAATTAATAATGCTAATTAATAACACAGCCAAAACTTTTTTTATGGTACCATTTTCTAATACATAGTGTTGGCAATGTTGATTATGTTGACGATTGCCATCTCTTCTTGCCGCATTAAAATCAGTCATACATACTCAACAGAATTTGTGGTCACATTTGCACATCATATGATCACATCCATCATTTTTCTCTATTCTATTAAGACAATTGGGATTGGAGCATTTTTTAGAACTTTGGCTTATTCATCATTGACTGGCTCTTTCTTCTTTTCCAATACTCTTATCATATTCAGCACATGTTATACCTTTATGCTATGCGAGACGACGATTGAAACAGGTCTTTCGTGAACATTTGATATATGTTACGATCGAATATTTCCACCCATCATGATTTAATTGACCAGAACCACATGAATGAAAACACTAAACAAATTCTGGCTGTTGTTCAAGACGCGACAGAAGACAATAACGACTGTATCGTTCAAATAATTCAACATTATTATATTTTGTTGATACTAAGCTTTTGATTGCCTAAGATTCCAATTGCTCTTCACATTCATGCTCAGAACAATTCACTACTTTAGTCATTTTGAAACTAAATATATGCGATATGTATAAGAAAACACATCTATCGCATATTGTTCGATCGACGTGTGCACATTGATGACCATGTTTCGTTGAAAACTCTGTTACTGTTTGACTGCTATTGCATATAGTACACTTCTTTTCCACAGAATTCATAATCTACACTTGAATTAAGAATATGGAAAAAAGTGAAGAAAAAATATGCTACGCACTTTTGTTATATACTTTGATGGCGTACATGTTTTAGTTGGTTTTTACTATCTACTTTTCTTCTAATTCCTACACTCGACGCATGAATTATGCTCAAAGTCAGTCATTCATTCTTAGCACCTGTAAATCATTTTTAATTGAAAAAGGCTCGCTGAGCTCATAAGAGTATCATGAGTGTAATCTGAAATTATTTTTTTCAAAATTTGATGGTATTCCGAAGAAGAATATGCCGAAAACGATTGTTATCGGCTAATAATTTACTTGTACGATGATGTATGATTTAATCTTAAAACAATTATTCAAATCTTAGATTTTAAATTCATACATACTTTAATTACAATCTTACGTGACTTAAAATTATTCATGACAAAGTTTCAAACATGTAGAAAAAATGTCAGCATGGCTTTTATCGATTGAATGAAAGAGACAATAATAATCTATAGATACAGATAAAAAGAATATGACAAGTAATTTCTAATTAATATATATATGATATCCAGAAAGTCGTTACACAAGGAAAACTTTGAATATCCCTCACCACACTTTGATCAAATGAACTGACTTTTTTTTTGAAGATAGAAGAGTTTTAAACTTTTATTTATGAATGAACAGTCTATTCATACACATAAAACCAGTAAACTCTTGTTCACTATACTATTAAACAATGCATAAACGTTTTTAACTGATCTATAGATCGATACTATAGAATACTCTTACATATTTTGTCAAACCGTATAACTGATGTATATGGGCATGCTGAACCATAGGATGCCCCGATTCTTATTTGTTTACATAGCTTCAATCAATTATCAGAAAAATGTAATTTTTTTACCAATTATAGTACATGTATAATGCTAATGATCTGTTATTGTTTGAGCTCTATATATCACTAAAACCAATAGTTATCAAATGTTTCTTCTGTAAGCATTTTATTAAAGTATTACGCATCTAATTTGGGTGTGACTGTAAGTCCTCTTCATTCACACCCATACCCTTCAATACGTCTATTGCATGCATAAAATTTATATACATAAGAAATAAATGTTTGTTTATAAGGAGCAAAGTTGAGAAACGGAAAGAATCTTAAGATGTGGATGTGCATCTACCTATGGTAGAGTTTGGCAGTTCCTAAAAAACTTGAACCGAGGACCTAACTAAAACCGTCAAATGATCAGATAAATTCAAAAATGCTTAAACTTATGTCGTGAAACCTTCATTTTTGAGGATAAAGATTTCAGTACATATGTATTAGATTGTTGTGTTCAAGTACTAATATATGTAGCGCCTTTAATCTCAACAATTTAGTAGCGAAAATTTCTTAAAATAGATTTAAAGTTTTCATGTCTATCTGATGATTTGATAATTTCAGTTCTACATTATATTCTGTGTACTGAAAACGAAGCACTTTTTTTCTCATTTTTTAGTAGCCAAGTGGGTGTGCCACACACATCTACATCCACATTCTTTTTCGACAATCAAGTTGATGTAATTTCTACTGATGACTTACACGGTATGTTCGTATTGATTGTTCAAATGTCTACCTTTAAACTGATTTGGCTAGCTAATGCCCTAGCGAGCAGATGTTCCTAATCCATATCAAGATTTTTCTAAAAGTACGAATTTTGCTTTCATTTTTTCATAATAATTGAAATATACATAAAGGTTTTGTTCGATCAAAATTAGTTAGGAAATCTTGTCTTCAATTCCTCTGTTTAGTTTCATTAAATAAATAAGCTTAACTAAATATATTTGTATCAGAAGTTAATTTATCATTAGATAAACATAAATCATTATCTTGACTATAAGATAATGATCTACAAGGATTTCGTACACGTTCTCATAGATTGGTAAGTTAGTGATGTAACCAGAATTTTAACGTTATGAAGGAGGGAGAAACGAATGGTCAGACTCACCGTAAGGAGGGACTTGTTGCAGTTTAGTTGATGTAACTCTAGTCGATAGATGACTCAGTTCTGTAGCCTTCTGATCACGCCACTAAGATAGATTCTAATATCATTTAAATAGCATTTTCATCATAACTAATATGCATATCGTTCGGTTCAATTAATGTATAATACGATTTCAATATGTATTGCATAAGATCTAAATATTAACATAAATAACAAACTTAAATTGATGTTTAAAATTTGATTGTAATGATATATCTATAAGAAAATTGTCTGTTGTATTATTAATACTCTAACTACTAGAAGAAATAAGTATTTGTTTTGATTTACATTGATAGAAGAAGAGTATGAACTGATTCATGTGAATGATGAATTTCTCCAGAAATTATGAGAATGTATTCTACATGATCGCAGAATAATGCTCGATAATTTTTTGTCTATATTATCGGTGCAATACTGACCTCACCTTTCCTTGTGATAGATGAAGATGGCTTGAAATTTATATAAATTTTCATATCCTTACTTTAATTAAGAAATAATAGACTACGTAGTTTTAACATAAGGCAATGTGCTATCGAGTATTTTTAAATGAGTTAGATTAAGAACTGAATATGTAGATTAACAAAGTCGTTGATTATAACAAAGTTAATTCTCACTTTTAGATTGATTATGAAAAAAATAAAAATGTCAAATTATAAATTATATCTTTTCCCTTGAGCATTGTTTTCGCATTTCAATGAATAATTTCATCCGATGAAAAAAAAACTTTTTTTCATGATGAATAAATATATATTAAGCATCTTTCACTTCATTGCTAATGTTGAAACATACTACACTGTAGGTTGTCGATATATAGACAACAATTGAACAAGAAAATTTCAATCTGAAATTTTGCTCAGATATAGTTCTCCTATTCATTGGCATACTCTCTAACTTTTAGTGGAAAAGTGCTTTCTTGTCGTTATGTTAAATTGTTAAAAAAAGGTATTTTTTTTCTGGACTTACAGATTATGAGATAAATTTTTAAGAATCGATTTCTTCGAAAGAAAACATTTTATTTGGTAGTGAAACTGTTAGAGTAATCCAAATAAGTAGTAAAATAGTTATAACCTTCGAAGAAAGCTCCATTAGCGTAAAATAGTGTTCTGCAACCCAACTGGGTGCCAGTCATGAAAAAAAAAAGTCAGTTTGGATTCGAGTATAGACTTGCTTCGACTACAACCGAACAATTAATAAGATTGCGACGTCTCAAAATATTTATACTTTTTCAAGCTACTATTTACATATATAAAAGCATAGGAGTGAAAATCGATTCAATCTTGATTGAATAATTTATTATAGTTGAAAACAGGTCATACAAATGGACAATGATATTGTTATGTTAAAAGAGGTTCAATTTTAATGAAAATTCATCCATAAATGAACATGAACCATATGATAAAGTAATTGAATGCATTGAAAGGAAAATGAATTATCAAAAACGATGAACATGTATTATCGTGATGGAAAAAGCATTCATGTATGTATCCGCAATTATTATGTTGGGCACTAGCATTGTGTTTCATTTTAGCATTATCAATAACAAGCAAACATATACTTAGCGAAATTCAACAAATTTTAGAAGCAGAAAGGCACCACGTGATTTACCTACTTTTTTTTGTGCAATGTGAGATGATCTCTTTTTTTTTGTTGCTATTTATGAAGGGCAAATTTAAAAACTGTACAACGACTGTGAAAGTATCTGATTGATACCGATCAGCTTCGGTCGGGCATCAAATACAACTATTCAAATCCGGTTGCGAAAAGTCATAGTCGTACAGAACACTAACATAAATTTTCTTAGGTTTTTTCTTAAAATAATGTCCTCAATGTATGGACAGAATATCACTGAAAACGGCTGGATCAATATACAGATTTAATAATCATTAGCTAGTTTTGAAAGCTTTAACGAAAATAAGTATGTCTTACTAGAGATATTTATTTTTCTAGTTTTGCTGCCGGAACCTAATTGCAGTCAGAGTTTCAAATCGAACGATGGCCGACAATTGAATATGTTCCCTCGTAAGTGTTCCATTGGCATTAACACAATCACAATAACAATTTTATAAGCATTTTTCAATCTTCGATTTCTATATGGATTCTAGCAAGGCTTTTAAATAATGAGTAATATATTTTCAAAAAAAACTCTATCTATTGAACAACAAAAAAATGTGTACCATTACTAGANATTAATCAATTAGAAGACTTTCCTCTTAAGATCATCTTCACAGTTGCATCTCTAGTTTCTGTAGAATAATAATGAAACCAAGAAGGAGAAAAAAGATATATTTAGATAGAGAAATCAAGAATGAATAGCAGTCGTAACAATCAAAGCAATGATCAATGAAATAGAAAAAAGAAAAAAAGGCTGTTGAAAACAAAAAATTTACAGGAGCGCGTACAGAACAGCACACACACACACACACAAAATAAAGTGAGTAAACAAAGTATATTCATAGTTCGAAAAACAAGAACAAAAACAAAACACACACATACACACAGATAGATTAGTGCTAATCATGATAGTCAAAAAAAGAAATGCGCTCATTTGGAAGCTCGCTATAGCATGTCTCTTACGACTGATGTTTAACTCGTTCATTAGATTTTACATCTAATATAGTCTCAATTTTTTTATTATCTCATAGCTTTTTTTCTCAACTCATCCTCTTGGTGGTTATTTTTCTTTTTAAAGCTTATTGTTGAGAAAAAAAAGACTCACAATAAAACAATCATACACAGAAATAGAGAACACGCTCATTAATTTATCACTCGGCCAAAAAGAAAAAATAAGAAGAAATACACAGTATGTAAACAGGAACCATAAAGAACAAAAGAAAAAAAAAACGAAGCAAAACATATAAGCAAGTTTTCGTATTTTTTATCATCGATAGAAAATACTGTTGTAATATGTTATTTTCATAAGGCTAGATATTATTATTTAGCCTCCAAAAAAAAGAAAATTTTCTAATCGATTTCATTACATTCCAATAACAAGAAAAAAAAAATTTGGTGAATCTTTTGTGAAAATAGAAATAAAGAATAATGAAGACAGTGCATGAAACACCAATGAAACAACAAAACGTTTTATCACATTGAGAAGCAACAACAACAACAACAAGACAAGTGAAAAACAAAAAAAAAGAAAAGTGAACACGCATACTACTTGTCAATAAAAAAAACGAAAACACAGAAAAAAAAGCGTTAACAAACAAAAGAAGAACTATTATATTTTGCTTTTGTTTTTATACATGGAACAAAACGAAAAAAAAAAAAAAACAAGACTAAAGTTGCACGTTATACCAACATATTTTATGTTTGAGCTTACAGTTCACATGAAAATTTGTCGCCGTTGCCAATTTTTTTTAGAAAAAAAAAAGAACCAAGACGATGAAAATCACATTCGTTCAATAAGAAACAATACCAGTATTGATATAAAAGATACTTTGGTTATTTTTTTAATTCTTGTTTTCAATAAAAACTTGATTTATTCTTGCTCGTTAACTAATAATATTCGATTATCTCCTAAAATTAAACAAAACAAAAATAAAGTATTTATGAATGAAGAAATCTTTTACTTAGAACTTGTGTATCATGATAACTTACAATAATTAAATTAACAAAAACTATTTTTCACTGTTCTAATAATGTAAGGTAGTGGAAAAAAGTTTATTATAAACGTATTTTTTTTAACTGTCTTCCTATAATGTCGTAGAAAATACGACGATTCTTTATTTTGTTTTCTTTAAAATTGCATTGTTAGAAACTAGTCTTCGGAAACCTGAGAATTATCATATTCGGTTTTTTAGAAACTTTGCTAAAAAAACGACTCTATTGACTATTAATATCACAATAAATACGTTGTTGTTAAACTTTTTTTTTCTCACTAACTTATGAATAAATTCAAAGTGAAGATAGTGAATGCATGATAAGACTATGATGATTTCAATTCAAAACTTTGTACAAAGACAGGTATTTGGGAGAATAGTTTATTGTAAAAATTTCAGATCTTTTCGCTGCTGCTATCCTGAAATAAGAACACCAAATTCACAATGTATATAAGCGACATAAATATTGTTTCTAAAGATAACTACGGAATTATATTAAAAAGTATGGTATAAATGTAGTATCTCGGTAGTCAAAGATCTTTTTAGAATATTCATAGCTCATTAAGGTTTACATGATACGCATAGTAGTCTTGACTCAAAAGCGATTAATCAATTAGAAGACTTTCCTCTTAAGATCATCTTCACAGTTGCATCTCTAGTTTCTGTAGAATAATAATGAAACCAAGAAAAACCTGTTTTTGCTTTTATTTTATTATTTATTTTTATTTATGCTTATACCTTGTTCATAATGATCAACAGTATCTGTCCATTTCATCGCTAAATAAGCCGTTAAATCATCAAGATTAAAACGATCTGTTTGAGCATTTCGTCGTTGTTGACTATAAACAAGTTGTAATGCATTCGACATTATATCTGATGATGATGATAATTGACGTGCTTGATGATATAATACCGATGAATTTTTATCATCATCATCATCCAAATCAATATTATTTTGTTCAGATTTTGTATCATTCAATGATGATGATATTGGTTGAAAATAAGCTGTTTGTGATGGAGTTAAATGTTGTGCCTGTGAAGGATAATAATAATGTGATGGATATATCGTTGGTGTATAAGCATTTGGAATTGAATTTGATTGTTGTTCAGTATCAATTGAAGATTTTTTAGTTGTTGATGGATGAAAATAAAACTGACCTGTTGGAGTTGAATAAACAAGTAATGATTCTTGTATTTGTTCAGGTGTCGTTGAATTTGTTGTTTCATCTTGATCACTTTCATTTGCTGTTGTTGTTGTATATGTTGTTGGTAGAAAAATATATTGAGATTGAGGTGACATATAATGTTGACGTAATAAATTCATATAAGCTAATTGTTGAGAATAATTAGCTAAACGCTGATTATATTGTAAAACAAGAAGAGGATCAATATAAGATGATTGTGATGAATAATTACGTTGTTGATGTGGACGAATATCTGAACCGGAATAAAATTGTGGTGAACGATTATTTCGTTGAGAAAATTTTCTAGGAGATTTTTGTGTAAATGAATCATTTAATATATCATTGGATTGTATTGGTTGCATTAATGGAGATGTTAATGTATTTGATGCATCAATATCAGGTTCAGTTGTTGTTGATAATGGTTGATTATTTGTATTAGTATCATCGGATGATTTGTTTAAGGTTGTTGAATCAAGTTCAAAACCAAATGAAACATCATTAAGTTCAATATCATTTGATTTATTAAGAAAAATAACAGGTGGTAATTTTGATTGTCGTTTTAATAATGATGATAAAGATGATGATGATGAATGAGATGATAGACGTGGTGAGATTTGTTGTTTTTCTATAGTTTGTTCATTAGTAGAATTTACAATTGAAGATGAAGGTAATGGTTCATCGGATGGTGGAGGAGGTACGGGACGTATAGGCTCAGAAGAAATTCGATTGTTTGTTATTTCTTCTTTTGTTATTGAAGAAGAATTAAATTTAGCATTCGGTAGATTATTGCGTATTATTGGACGTATAATACCATTTTTTGTTGTCGATAAAATACGTCGTTTATCATGAGTCTTTGAAGATGTTGATGGTGGTAGAAAATGCGTTGAACGTGTTAATAAATTATTATCTTGACGACGTTCTTTTATTAAACGACGACGATTTTTTACAGTTACAAATGGCTCAGATATGATTTCACTGTTCAAATTATTTGTTATTGTTGATGATAAACTATATGAATCAATATCATCATTTTTTAAAGATGCACTACGAATTTGTTCAAACAAATTTGGTATAGAAGATTCATCATTCTGTTAAAATAAAATAAAAAAGGGCACAAATAAATTTCATGAATAATATATACGTGTAAAAATGAATTAACATGCGTTTCTAGGACACTCGAGTCATAATCTTCGGATAGAAAGAGTAATAAAGATACTATCTAAAGTCAAAACAAATTTGAAACAATTTCGCCATATATGTATCGAACCGTTTGAATTAAGGTAGTGAATATCAAAATGAAAAGAAAATTTTCTAAACAAAATTTTTCTTTGAGAACTTTAATAGAGGAAAGAAACAGCACTTATGTCATATGATGATTTTTTTAAATGAATAATGAACTAACATCCGAAATTGTAATATGAGCGATCTGTTCTCACAGTGATCTACTGAGCTATTTGATGTCGATATATATATATATATATATAAGAATATAATATGATGGATAAGTAGTTTAAAAGATGATTTATTCGCTGCTAATAATATTATATTTAAAAAAAACAAAAATCTATTTGAACACTCACAATCGTTTTCGTAGAATTAACATCGACTGTATTTAAATGAGATTCATCATTATTATCAGTAGATATATTTTTATTTAATAATGATTGATTTGTTATATCAATAATTGTATGTGTTTTTGTTTGATTATCTTCATCAATAAAATTTATTGATTGGATATTTTGTTCACTAGTTGTTACATAATTTGATGTTTGATTTTCATTATTATTATTATTATCATCATTTGTTGTCGATATTGTTTCTTGTAAAATATTTATTGATTTACGAGATTTTTTTCGAGATGATGTTTTATTACTATTTGTATCATCTACAGAATTGATTTTTGAAGATAATCTTGGTTTATTTGTATCGGTTGGACGTAAAGGAGTTGAATTTTGTCGTTGTTTTGATGAATCTCCATCGATAAACATGACAAGTTCATCGACATCACGATCACCACGATGTCCTGGAATTAATTCTGTTCGTATGATTTCTTGTTGTTGAGACTTGAAAAAAAAAACAAACGAAAGAACGAAAGAAATATTCGATTGAAGTAAAGAAAATGAATAATTGCACCTGTTTTCGTTTTTTCGAACCACGATTTTGATTTTGACGCACAATATTATTCCGTGATGAATTTGAATGATTTTGTTGTTGTTCATTACGTTCGATAAGATTTCTAGAAGAGAAAAGAGCAAAGTGATAAGAATTATTTTTGTCTTTTTTGTTTTCTTTCTTATGATTTATATTTACCGATTTTGATGACTAGATGATGATATGTTCGTTTGATTATTAGACGATTGTTGTAAAGAAGATTTTGATGGAAAGAAAATTGTATTATGATCAGTAGTTGTTGGATTTAATTTATTGACATTGCCATTTAGATCTGTGATGTTGAAAAAAAGAAATAAATACGTAGAAGAATTTTTGTTTGTATAATCTTTAAGAAATAAGATTGGACTTCTCTTTTTTTTTCATTTTCTTACCACCATTTGGAATATAAACAAGATTTCCAGATAATTTATAATATAAATACATTATTGATGAATGTAACTATGCATGATATCAATTTGACATAATAGAATTGATATCAATCAAAATATTGAATGAATATTAATGAATGACTTTTTCTTTTTTTTTGAGGTGTGTACAAATACAGTTTGTAAATGATACAAACTTGTATGAAAGAATGGCGATTATGTTAGTGGAGTGATAATTATATCGAGAAATGAGATAACAGAGAGAGAGAGAGAAAGGCAGGAATATTATTCGGTCGGTTGATCGGTTGTTTGTGACGAAGAAAAGAAAAAAAGAGATGTAAATAGTATGTGAATAGTTTCGTGTACTTGTGCAATGTTATATTTCTCGCTTGATTCGTTCTTTTTTTCTTTTCTTCTCATGTCTCGTTCTATATTTTACATCGATTTCGATGATATAAAAAGAATACAATGATGACTCAGTTTTCAATATATACATATACACTCCCCCATCTCCAGGCATTTCAAAATCGTCTGATAGTATTCCCTAGTCAATTCATTACAAGTACAAACAGAATGATGAAAAAAAAAAAACTATTTTGTCGTTCATCAATATGAAAACCAAAAAGAAACGAGACAATACATACCATCAATATGCAACTGTTTCATACGAGGTACTTGTAAATGAGGTTCATTATTACTAATTTGTTCTACACGGGTAGTATTCGATCGACTTGATTGATAATTATCTTGTTCATCTAACAAAATGATAAGAATTTACATATATATATAAACAAAAAAAAAATTATTAATTACTTAAATATGAATATTGAATATCATTTGTTTTATTCAACTATAATAGAATTGAATTCAATAGAAATATAAAAATTTTTTTTTGTTGTTTCTGGACATTGGTTAAGCAGGTGTTCAATAGTCTAATTAGAAACTGTTTAGTGATCTAAGTATTGATCATCTAGAGGGATACTCTCCCATATGAGTTCAGTCATAATTCATCAGATTAAAAGAAGATCATAAGCCTTCACTTATCTTCTTGATTAATCATTTAAAAAATTCATTCTCGAATGATCATTGGTTGAGTAGAACTCATATAGTAATCCGAGCTTAGACCATATGACATGTCACCGGTCATTGTTAAGACATACATGTTGAATATGAAAAAAAAATAAGCGATAAATAACATGTATGCATGCATTTCCACTTAATTATCACGATTTATAATTACTATACAATACGATAAGATCATAACAATAAACAACTTAAGTTTTGTTTTTTATTTTATTCCTCATTGTACAAGTTATTCTCTTCTATATTAAATATAACGATAAATCATTGTAATTTATAATATTTAGACTGTATTGGCAAAGAAATCCAAACGAGATATTATTTGAATGAAATCGAAACGGGGATAAACCAAATAGTGAGATTATTTATTGCAGCTTCATATAATGACAGTTATGAGTATTTTGAAAAACAAAACTTATCCTTTTATAGTTACTTATCATATTCTATTAGTATGCTAATTGATTATTTGTTTTCTATTAGTTAATATGATTTATTATTTACTAAACTAAGAATTTTTCTCCTTCTATTTCTGATCAATTTTCTATGAGAAAAGAACAGACACTTTATCTACTCGATGAACACTTAGATGACTATATAAAATTTCTAATTAAAATGGTGAAACATATTGTCAATGAAAAGAAACATCAGCTTGATTGTTAAGCATTTGTACAGTAGAAACACCTGGTTAACCTATGCTCTTATTGTCGTTTGTTTCGTTACTTACTGATTTCATTGATGTATCTTTTGTACGTGAAGATGTCATTGAATGTGGATTATTTGATAATGTTGAATTATTATAAGGTTCTTCATCAGATTCTTCATCATTATCTGTACCAGAATTAGTACGTATACTACCACTATTATCTGATGATGATTTTGTTGTTATTGATGAACCATGTGAATTATAACCATTATTTGGTAGATATTTACTACGTTCATATGGAGTATTTGTTGTTGATTGCTGTGTACCATAAGTTTGTGTATGATTTTTATTTAATAATGTTGTTGATTCGGTTAATGGTTTTTTTGTTTGTTCAATTAATTCCTCATCATTATCGTCCTCATTTAATAATTTTTCATAACCAATATTCGTTTTTGTATTATCATCTTGACTTTTATTTGATGTCGAAGAATCAGATGTTGAACAATCAGATGATGATGATGATGATGAACGTTGTTTATTATTATCATCATCGTCATTTGGAAAATAATTTATGACAGCTTGTTCATGAGATTTATTATTATTTTTCATTATAGTTTTATGTTGATGTTGTTGTTGATGATTATCTTGTTTTTTATTAAGTTCAAGTAATATACCAGCACTTTGTGCAATACCTTGTTGGATTGATTCACTTGTATCACCAAATGGAGGAGGTGACCTCGTTCGATTTTTGTTATTACTGTTTTTACTTGTACAAACTGGAGCAAACGTCTAAAAAAGGCATTGTATGGAAGAAAGAAAAGAAAAGAAAAGAAAGGAACACATCATTGCTGTTCGCTGTTTTGTGCCTTGGTAACATACAACATGCTGTCACAGATATATGCATACACACACAGACACACCTATCAACGTATCTATATTGAAAGAGAAAGGCATACGCAAACAGACAACCGCAATGTGGTACATTTCGTTCTCCTACGTAAACTATATAAGGACAAAACTCGTGTACATAAAATTCAATTCTTTATATATAGATTAACGTGAATAAGAAAAAAAATGATTTCTATTAAAATCTTGTACCTTTTTATAATCTTCAACATTAATATTAATTAATATTGGTTCAGATTGATGATTTGATGATGAACTATAATCATTATCAAAACGTGTTTGATCATAATAATTTCCTTGCATTAATTCATGTGATTGATATTGTCGTGTTGAATTTTTCATATATGAATTATCATTATTTATTCTAAAGAAGAAAAGAAAAGAAAAGAAAAGAAACAAAATAATAAAAAATAAATTCATTAATTCAACAAACTTTTTTGCTAAGAAATGTTTTGGTTGTAAATCATGTATTTCATCATATGCTTGATTATTAGCTATTTCAGTTTCTGTGTTTTGTTGACGTTTTATGATTAATGGTGATGTTATTCGACTATTTATTGTTGATAATTTATTATTAGTTGAATTTGTTTGTTCATCATTATCATCATTATGATTTACTGCTGTTTGTATTGGCAGATTTGACATAATGATGATTTGATGATTTTTATTACAATTATTGATTTCACTATTGAGAAATCAATGTAAAAAGTTTTCTTATTTTATTATTAATCAATAGACGATTATATAGTTTTGCTTGTTCAAGTTAGAGATAATATTCCACATGAAATATATCTAAGAAAAAAAATTTAAAAAAATAAAATAACAACTGAATAATTTTACTGATAAGCTGTTACATAAAAGAAAATTAATTAATAGTGTAATTATATTTAACGTATAGTTTTTGCTACTCATTATTGAAATTCTTTTCGTACATTCATGATGCATTGTATACACAATAATCATCATTCACTACAGCCATCAATAATGTTTGATTTCCTCATAGCAAAATTCATAGTTGCGCTACAATCCATATTAATAAAATTTATAAAAAAATAATTTTCTTTTTTCTATTATAGAATAAATCATTTTCTAATGAATTATTAGTTTAAGAAAATAGTTCAATTTCAATTAAAACGAGTTATGTATAGTGACATCTATTATTAGTTTGCTTAATTTCGGTGAGAGTTTAAGAACATAATATAACTAGTAACATGACGAATAAATAAAACAGATGATTTTTTTTTTCGTTGTTTTCAAATTAAGAAATCTATTCATAAGAATAGAGAAGAGATTAGTAAGAGAAATTATTTTTTTAATAATTTCTCGATGATAAAAATAAACTGAAAAAAAAAAGAAATTCAGCTTTTCAAGATATTTTTCTTGTCTAATCGAGCTAATGAAAAACTTCAACAGGAAAATTTTGCAATTATATTCATTAAATTGTTTTGTTAGAAAATAACATTTGAGTAACAATGCTCAGAGAGCCAAGAAATGAAATTTTGATAACTAAAAAAAACATGAGAAAAGTTATTTCTCGGAAACTTCCGTACTTAATAATTAATAAAAAGGTAGTTTCAGAAAACTACGGTAAAATTCTTTAATATTATGATACATAAATGAAGTTATAAATCTATCGACATATAGAAGCTCATCTGCAAGAACTTGAAAAATTTTCAAAATTTCATAGAAAACTCGTATAAATTGACGACTAGTAGAGATATGAAGCATTGGCGGGCCGGACCATAATTTTCAGGCAGGGCAATAAGCACTTTTTCGCTTAAAAACGCTTGTTTTCATGGCGTTCTTCTTAAGTCCCAGCCAAAAAAANAGTTAAGTTGAGGATATACGTTCTAGAGTGTATTCATATGAGTGCTGCAATAAGGTTATACATGAAGAAATATAGTATTAAGCATACATTTGTAAGAGTCAAGGTTCAAAAGAATGAAATGTAATGCTATAGACATACATGTACAAGTAAAAAGGCACGATGTAAAAACATAGTCATGAGGATATAATTATAAAGCGATACGCGTCACAGGATTGATATAAGAATATAATAGTAATAGTAAACAGGTGTGGGTGTAGGTGGACGTGAACACAGGTACCAGAGATGGTGTTAGTACAAGTGAAGAAAAAATCAGCACAATCTCATCTCCAGACTCCCGAACATACACACCCACACCAACCATAAAATGCTTCCATCAGAAGAGATGATCATATATATATTTCATCTAGAAAATAAAAGAAGAATACTTGAATCAAACATGATGAAATAGAATGATGACTCAGACGTTAGCAAACAATGAAAGAATTAAGAGGAAAACCATTTTTCCATTTGATTTCAGACACTTATTGAAATTCGTAGGTTGGTTTTCACACAAGCCAACCGAGCCCATGAAACCATGAATCTAATATCTAACAGACGCTCTATCTTTACTGAGCCATCTAGTTAGACGTAGAGTGTAGATAGTAGTTCGCTCAGTGAAAAATACCATCAGCGTGATGTCTCGACTTCAAACCACAATTACCTGGTATACGCACCCTTCATGATGGTCTTGCATATTCATCGGTTCATTTATATGCAGCATTCATCTTTCTGAAATCAAAACTCATCGATCTGCTATTCAATACTCACCGTGAATATTGTTGCAGCATTTTCCTTGATTACATCGAGTTGGTAGAAATTCGAAACCCAATAGAAAGCTTGGTTCATCCTTTGAAATCAAGCTCAATCAAAAGATACTTTTTTTTAGAAACACCTATTGTACATTCTACTAGCGCTATGCTGGTTGACAATGAGAAAAAACACTTTATTTCTGTTTGAAAAGCAATCAAGAGAAAACAAAAAAGACAACATAGTTGAACAAAGAGCACAATACAAATTCTTGCCTATTATCGCTCAAAAGATACCAAAGATGTGGGCAGACAGAAGTCATAAACACTGGAAGACACTCGTACCCACATTCACATGCTCATGCATAGTATTGGAAGTGCCAGTTTAGAAGTCATCCATGCCATCAAAAGAAATTACGACTTCCGATTTGGTTGTCGAGTATTGACAAGAAGTTCTGCTCTTGGACGACACAGTTGATAGCCACAGAGGTCTCGTATGATTAGTATCTATTTTGAACAGATAAGGAATGATAGATAGAGAAGGGGAGAATCTTACTTTGTTTTGTTCGAGAGCTTTGGCAAGGTGTTGTCTTCCTTTATCACCGATTCTCCCTCGGACAAAAAAACTGCCTTTTTCCATTTCATTTTTGCAGCACTCAATATGTTGTTTTTAAAAAACAAAATATACCAGAAGATGCAGCATGAAAAGCTCTACAACTCACAAACCAAAATCTTATTTTAATTGTGTACTTTTGTTTCAAAAAAAAGCAAAATTTTGTGCAACCAATTTTCGAAACTGCGAAAAAACAATTTTTTTTCTATGCGAACGAGAAATTTCTTTTTCCTTATTTCATCTTTTTATGAGTTAATATGTTTTCATTAAAAAAAATACTGTGAGATACAGCGTGAAAACCTCTACAATTGACATAAATAGGACAGTTTATTAAAATAAGAAAAAATAAATTTCTCGTTGACGTAGAAGAATAGTCCTTATGCAGCATCGAAAATTGGTCGGACATAATTTTGCTGTTTTCGAAAACGAAAAGTACATAATTAGAAAAAGCTTTACTTTGTAAATTGCAGAGCTTCTCACGCTGCACCTTGTGGTATATTTTATTTTTTTTAAACAATTTATTAAGTGATGCAAAAATTAAATGAAAAAAGGCATTATTTTTTTGTCTGAGGGAGATCAGATTGTTACCGGTGTCCAGTATGATTGGTGTCTGTTTTGAGCAGACAATGACTGATAGATAGAGAAGGTGAAGATATTACTTTATTTTGTTCGAGAGCTTTGCCAAGACGTTGTGCTTCTTCGCCACTGATTTCATAGCCGCTAAGTTTCAGTATTGTTAGCGTCTATGTGTGAGAAAAAGAAAGTTGAAATGATGGAAAGATTCACGAAGCGATATCGTAATGTGACCTATAACCGGTTAGTGTAGCTTCATTTGGGAAATTTTTGATTTAGTTCAACCATACTGGAATTTTTTTTTTGTTTTCAAGAAAAGAAACATTGTAAAATGTCGTAAGTATATAAATTTTGTAGTGGATATTGTGTGTCTGAAAATTGTTGTGGGGTGAGGGGTATGGATTTAATAGCTCTGATAAGAATGGAAAAGTTCAATATCAACTAAAAGATTCTGAATAATAAGCTCTGATACTCACTAATGTTTGATGTAAAAACAAAATTTAGTACTCTCACGCTGGTTACATCGTTTGACTAGTTCGTTTGTTTCTTAAAGGTTGTTAGAGTTACGTATGTTACTTTATGTGAGGTAAAATGAAAAGTAACTACTCGTGTATCTTTTTTTAACGGTAAAGTAAAATGTTGCAGAGACATTGTTCCTGGAAAGGATCGATCTTAGTAGTGTTTTTGTTGCCTTTGTTTCAGGGATGGTCTTTGAAATGTAGCTTATAAGTATGATTATATTAGGATTCTTCAAGTTAGCACCATCTCAACGGATGGTACTCATTTTTGTGATTATTGTGTTATTACTGGTGGCGGTTTTTAGCTAACTTCAACTATTGTCAGTGGCCAATCATAGTTTTCGAGTGAAACTTAAAGTATAAGTTGCTTTCAACAAGTCATCAAATTTATTCGATTCAAGGTTTCATTGAATTGTTAGTCAAGATAAATACTCTGGTGAAACAATATATAGATTGATATATTAGACACATGAATCCTGTGTTGAAGATGATAAAAGTCAAATTTTCAAATATAATAATGTTTTACTTGATATCGATAGTAGCTGTCAATAATGGTATTCATACGTATACAAATGTTTTGTGTCGAAAATAAAATATAGAAATCATCAAGATGATCAAGAATTCGATAGACAAGTTCTACCCGTAATGTAATAAGAGTAGGAATAATTTTGGTTGACATGGAGTATAATTTTTGAGTTATTCGGGATGTTGAAATGTATGCTGAATATAAGGTGTGTTGTAGTGGACTTTTTCCTTTTAGTGAGCTTATAATAGTTGTGTATTGTAAATTTCTCTTTCTTTTGCAATTACTACTTTAAAGAAAGAGATGCAAAGTAATGATACATAGTGAAAGCGTCATGATAACAACCATAAGTTACTTTGTATTTTATTAAATTTTATTTGTCGCATGGTAAGACAAGCATATTTATAACCTTGGAAGTTCTTTTTCGTTCTTCTAGGACAAACTTCGACTGAGATACGACAGAATAGTTGGTCATAGAAGAATTTTTTTAAATATTTATTTTTTGTTGCAAATACAGTTTATTATTTGATGATCAATTATGTTGAAACTATCGAATGATGTCTAAAGCAACTCATTGTAGATAGCACCGCACCTAAGATTTTATTATTATGGTTCTTCAGCCAACTACTTATAGGCTATGTACTTGTCAAGTATCTACTCCATTATTATCTCCTATCACGAAAGTGTCCAAAATCTGTGGTTAAGAACTGCTTAATAATGCATAATCAATACTTCTAATAAAGTTTAGTTAGTTCCATTTAGTAGTCCACGAAAGAGTGGCTCTGTGAACGTTCTTATCGATATCATATTTTTTTTTAGCTACATGTTATTTAGAATTCTTTTTCCATTATAGTTAGCATCCAAAAAATGCTTTTGGACTGCTTCACATGTCAATCAATAGCTTTGATTGACTACTGTACAACGCTATAACACGGGATTCGTAAAAACATCTGATTGTCAAACATTTTCGTCGTTAATACAAGATGGATTTTTTCGATAAACGAAAATAATGTACAGATTTTCAAATACTATCGATGTGTTGTGCTTTTATTAAACAGAAGAGATTGTTCTACTTTTGTCTGGCTTCTCACGAATTTACTGTTGTAATCTTATGTTTATCTGTCATTCGTCAGTCCAGATCGAATCATGTGGTACATATTTGAGACGGATGTGGCAGTTCTGTACGACTGCTTCCATCTATGTCAACATCTCCCAGAGATGTCTGAAGCGCATGCTGTGTCATTGCGATTGTTGAAGAGTGCTATAAAAACATTACAGACGCTAATTAGCCTTTGATAAATTAGTTGGTAAAACGACATGGGGCAGAAGCATGCAACGCATCTAGACGTGAGCAATATCACGTACTGCTCCGTCAGTCTCTCCTACGAAAGCGACTGTATAGAATACGCTAGAATACCAAATGCTACTCTGCAGCTAAAGTTGATTGCATGAGCATGACTGTATTGATGGTGTAACGCCAGTTTGTGAATCATGAATTCATGGCATACTTCACATAGTTTATGGTGTGAAAACAGTGCAAACACAGTTCGCCCACGAATATTTCAACGATTAATTTGAATACCTGTCATGTACGGTAAACGGATTGCATACTAACTGTTCATGCTGTTACTAAAATATCGACTGTATTTCTGCTTCCAAGCAAAGATTGTAAATACATACAGTTTACGATCTGTATTGATAATGTTTACTACCGTAAAGTTCATGTGTTTTCACGTATACTGACTGAAAACAAGTTCTAGACGTTATCTGCTTTGAGTGAAATGAAGATGAGTAAGGTTTCAGAATATCAAAGTTTCATAACATCGAGACAATGCACATGCGAGTACACAGAATCCTCATTTTAAAAATGCTTTTTGAAACTGACTATAAACTGAGCAAGTAACTCTTGTCGCTGCAATTTGAGTGTGGCTGTGCATATGGGCGTTGGTGTCAGTGTTTGCGCAGTGTGGTGCTTCTCTTCACTATTGGAATAATCACACTCATACTCACACACCTGCAACCACATCCATAGTTACTCATTGCTATACGCACCCCGCACTCCCCCACACCTACACCCTTGGATCAATTTTTAAACTTTTTAATAATGTAAGAACAAATTCGATGACCATAGTTTGATGAGCAACACATTCGATATGAAGATATTTCTAAAAATATTTTTCATTTTCCAATAACTTTCGAATGAAAAATAAATACTCTTACGTCTTGCATTCCTAGATCAATACACCAAGCAACTAACTAGAACCTAGAATTATGACGTGTATACGACTATCATGAGTGACTGTACACTGTCGTATATGACTTTCGTCAACTCAGAGGTTAACCGTTTGGTATGTCGCGGTTAACAACAATCAATAGACGGTAAACAAGATTAGTCGATGTTTAGCCCTTGTCAACCGACAGTTCTTTGTCACTGCCATCTCATTCCATCTCGTCCCGTGACTACAAAATATATTATTCATCGTATAAATGAATACAAAATTTAGTTTCATTAATTCATATTAACATTTTGATCAGCCATTGGATGAAATCTAAATAAAATATAATTTTATTTTTTATAAATTCATATTTATACTTGGATCAGCTGTAAACCAAATCTGAATTAAAAAACAATGAAAATAATTTTATTTTAATTTTTGAGTGCCAGTAATGACCATTAATTCGAAGACGTGAATACAGGTCTTTTAGCGCATATATGAAGAAGACATGTTGAAAAGCCAAGCTACAACTGTATTATATTAATAGCTTAGACCAAATCAAAAAGGTTTAATCGATAAACAATTTTATTGAAAGTTCAAAAAAATATTTCTCCAACCTTGATCGACCTGAATATAAATGTAATAAAAAGAAGACTCAATAGAATGTAGCCTTAGTGATGCGTATGCATAGTGTATCTTACAATATGTACCTGTAAGCGACAAGAGAATACAGGATGAGTGGTCACATCAATAACCTAGTCAAATAATAACCTTCACAATAAAAAATAAATAGAAATAGAATGACAATAAATTAATAAAATACTTTTTATTACTTAAAAATTAAAGATAGAATAAATGAGAAAGTTTTTCTTTTGCATGAGTACTTAATCTTTTATTTTCTCTAAGTAGCTCGCAAACAATTATGGCATCATAGATAGAGAAAGAAATATATATAGGAAATTTTTCATGTTTATATTTTGTGTGCATCATCCTCATCTTTTAACAAAATTACATATAGAAGTGTTGTTCGTGGTAAGAAAGAATACTGATTAACATGCGTATCCTCTATATTAGATTAGGTATTTGTCTATTCTAACTACTACAGACAGAAATCTTTTTTTTTTATTGTTTAGTTTATCTGCTTTTTTTAAATGGAAAGAACTATTTTATTTATTTATTCTTCTTTTATCAATATAAATATTTTATTCATATGTATTTTAAAAAGTAAAGATAACTGATTATATCCCTAAATGAGATAATTATTAAATGATAAAAAAAATGTGACTCATTTTTCTGATTGATATTTACCATAAAATATTATATTCAATTTGAAAAATAAAAGTCTTGATGGAAATGGGCATCTAAATTCACTGCTAACCTACGATTGCATACACCAATCGTGTAGGACAGTCATTTACGCCTATAGTATGCAACCGTCGTATTCAACGTCCGCTGTCTGCCGTATTTAGTTGCATACGGCCGTTTACGACCGTACTTTTTCACAGATCAATTCTAAATGAGCATCAAGAAATTTTTGTGAATCATTATCAGTAAAACATTCATAATATAATTTTGTATCTGCTTCATGTTTTAGAACAAATTTTTTTTTTCTAGAAAAAAAAAGTCAAATGAAATAATTTGGCTAAGTCTGGAAAATAGAAATGTTGTATCTTGCTTGTTCTTTTATGATTGTTTGATTCATTAATTTTTTTATTTTTCTTTATCATCGGGATCATCATTAAATGCTATAAAAAAATCTGGTCCAGGTCGTAATAAAATATATTCTACTTACGACCAGTTTCTGATAGAAATTTTTTAAGTGCTAATATCTAACGACCTCTACATGATTTTCTTATAGCATTGGTCAGAGACCTCCATATTCTATACAAGTAGATGGATGAGTTTCAAAATATGTTTCATTTTATGTCATTGAAAATGTACGTAATAACAACCTTTAAATATATTTTGTAGATAAATTTCTTCTATTTGAAACGAAATGGCCAACGATCAACCAGGTAGATTTAATGATATTGTTGTTTTTCATATTATTTATTTTATTTAAATAAATTTAGATCGAAATAATCGTCATTCATCTCGATCTCGTTCTCGCGATCGTAAATCGCGTCGACATCATGATCGTTCACGTGAACGAGATAATAAACGTCGACGTTCACCAAATGATAATAATAATCGAAATAAACATAGTCGTTCACGTTCACCAAAAGAACGCTCACCAAAAGAACGCTCGCCAAAAGAACGCTCACCAAAAGAACGTTCACCAAAAGAACGTTCAAAAAAAGAAAATAAAAATGAAAAAAAAATCATACGAAAATATAAATACTGGGATGTACCACCAGCTGGTTTTGAACATATTACACCTGTTCAATATAAAGCTATGCAAGGTTAAATATCAAATTAAAAAAAAAATTTTTTGTTCTCATGAATTGATTTTGTTTGTTTTTTAGCATCCGGTCAAATTTCGCAAATATTTAGTGGAAAAGATTGGAGTGCAAATACTGCTGCAGCTACACCAGTACTTGGTAGTCATGTTGTTCATCAATCCCGACGATTATACGTTGGAAATATTCCATTCGGAGTTTCAGAAGTAAGAAAAGAATTATTTATTGTAAATAAACATTGATCTTTCGATATTTTCTAGAATGCAATGATGGAATTTTTTAATCAACAAATGCAACTTACTGGTCTATCACAAACAGAAGGACATCCAGTTATTGCCGTTCAAATAAATCTTGATAAAAATTTTGCTTTTCTTGAAGTAAGTTATTTTTGTTTAAAAAAAAAATTAAATTTACACATATAAAATTTAGTTTCGTTCAATTGATGAAACAACAGCTGCTATGGCGTTTGATGGAATAGTTTTTCAAGGACAATCACTTAAAATTCGTCGACCAAGAGATTATCAACCAATGCCAGGAGGAGGTGATCAACCAAATATGAATGTACCTGGTAAGTTTCCAGACAAAAAAAAAAAGGTTTTTTTGTTTTTTTTTTTAATGAAATCTTTGGATTTTTAGGAGTTGTTTCAACTGTTGTCGCTGATTCACCATTCAAAATATTTATTGGTGGTTTACCTAATTATTTAACTGATGATCAGGTAGGTGGGAATTAGTTGTCTGAAATTCGATATTGACTTTATATGAAAACCAGGACCGTCCCGAAATACGAAAAAGATTGATCATAAAATGATATTTCTTTTTTTATTCGTTTAAATTCTCTATACCCAAAGGAAGATTTTTAATTCATAAGTAGAACATTAGAATGCCTATCATTTACTATAAATCAATCCTCAAATCAAATCCTCATTTGAGGATTCTGATTTAGGAATTTTTTGACATGAAATATATTATACATTCTGTAGTTCAATGCCATTCTTTTTCTCATTCTAGATCGTATTAACAAAATTAAAACTTTCGAAGTCATATCGGTTGGAGATATTTAGTTTAGATTCACTAAACATAATAAAAACAGTTTTACGATGAATCTAGTGATCAGAATGTATTTTGGGTTACTAGAAAAAACAATTTTCAGGTAAATCTGATGACGAGAATACATTTTGGGTTGCCAAAAGGAAGAATTTTTAGTAGCCCAAAATACATTTTGGTCACCAGATTCATTGTAAAACTGTTCTTATTATGTTTAATGAATTCAAAGTAAATATCTCCAACCGATATGATTTCGAAAATTTTATTTTTGTTAATACGATCTGGAATGAGACAAAGAATGGTATTGAACTACAGGATGTATGATATATTTCATGTCAAAAACTCCCCAAATGGGGATTTTTTTACGGGATTAATTTGTGGTAAATGATAACCTACCGAACATCAAGTTTAGATGAAAACTCTAAAGATGTCCATGCTCCTTAAACCATCTTTATTGTTGAGTTATGGTCATTTTACTGAATTTTCAGCATAGTATGAAAAATACCGCAATAAGAAATTTTAATATTAATGGATGGATTTTTCTTAAGATATGGAATATCTATGAAACGATCTTTTGTGAGAAAAGTTATATTTTTTTATAAATATGTTATCACGAAGGAGAAACATATGTTTAACCTGAAACTTTCAGAATATAATAAATACCACAAAATTCTGTTAGTGAGAAAATTTTCAAAGGAAAAATTCTTACAGCAAGTTTTTCTTTGTATTGTCTAAAGAGTTCTACTTATGAGTAAAATATGAACTCAAGTAGAAGATATCAGTTGGATAAGTTTTCTCGTTAGCTTCTTTAATACATTCAAATACGTCAGAGATTGAAACAGTATAGTTTATATTNGTTTTTGCGCAAACAGAAAAGTTTGTTATGTGAGCAAAAATTATTAATAAAGTTGATTGCATTTTGACTCTGTAGGGTTTCTTCTGAAAGTACAACTACGACGCACAAGGGAGGTCAACAAACAAAGTACATTACGAACGAACAAAAACAAACACGAATGTATATTTATTATTGTTACATATCGTTTTTATCTTCTGTTCGTGTCTGTACAATGAGAGAAAATGTGAGAGCAGAAATTATAAACTAAGGAGTACTAAATAAGTATAATATTACATTTTTCTTGTCTTCTTTCTTCTGATGTGATTGCATATCACTAAAAGCTATTTGATTCTATCTGTTCCTATACTTCTATCGAGTTGATTAGTTTTAATGAATAAAAATGCATTAAAATCAATTCAAAATTGTTCATGATATTACATTCATTTCGTCTCTCCATGGTCATTGATTCAAAATCATATATGTCGCTAAAATTTGTATACTAAGTATGATTAAGATCATATTCAAAAGATCAATGAGATCGAACTAGTTTTCAATAATCAATTCTCTGAAACTTTCGTTTTTTCTTGTCTGATAATAACATTCAAAAATTTCTCATCACGTAGATAGAAGTTTTTCGGAAGCGTTTTAATTCTGAAAATCTATACATTGAAAAATAGAGACAATAGATTAGTAAGAAACGAGAGAAAGGTAATTCCGAAAGTTGAACTTGAAATAGAAAAATTTTGAAACTCCGAACACATGTTTGAGTTAACGACTGCATCGACGTTCATGCAATTAATTTACTGCCACTTTTAGATGTACACGATCAACAGATTTCATATATCTATTAGAGTATTTATCTGATTGAGAATGTTTGCAGAATTAGATCCAAAATGAAGTTCATAAGTGATTAGTGTCTACTAATTGGTTAGAGGTGGCCAAGTCAAGTCAAAAAAACACATATATGTAGAAGAGTTTTACGCACTTTGTCTTTTTTTACACCTAATATGAAAGGTGAAAAGAAAAATATAAATAAAAAATAGTAAATATTTCTATAAAGTGAATTCAAGATGAAAAAAGACTGGAAGACTCTGTAATAAGTAAATAATCTTTTCAATGATCTGCGTTATTTTTTATGTTTCTTGTAAACTTTAGTCCAGATATTCGTGAACAGATTTTTTTCAGCACTTTTTTTGCGTTAAGGTGAAACTTTGTTATAAACTCAATTTTCATTGGTGTAGAATGAAAACTTCCGTAATTTGATCTTTTCATGACGCTTAGAATATTTGAAAAAAATCACATGAAATTGAGTTTTTGACTTGATTTATGATGGAAAAACCTCTGACTTTTCCGTCTCTGGATAGCATTGAAATACCCAAACGAACAATATAATTTTCTTGGTTGTTTTGCTACTGTTTGAATAGTGAGAGTATTAATTTATCGATAATATCAGGCGGATTCAACCGTCGAAGAATATTGTTAAATGTGAAGAGTGTGTTTGGAATATAAATATGCTTCTGAGTAATAACTCATTGTTCTAGAAATCCAATCTATATTATGGTAAGAAGCAAACCACAGCAAGTAACAGATCAGTCAGTCAATCATTTTTACTTAGAAACAACAATCTAGATTAATGTTATAATAAGTATAACTAATATTTTTCAACACAATTGAATCTATCGTATAAGCCATATCTACTTTTGAAATCTCGATACAGTGATTTGATATATTTCTAATGATAATATTGTCAATATATATCCTCTCTTTTACATGAATATATATATATAACGAAATATTTCAATCATTATAAATAAAATACTTTTTTGATTTTATATGCAAAAAAAAAACGCGAATAATCCAATCAAATAGTTAAGTTAAAGAAAAAAAAACATACACACAAAGGCATACGATTTCCATAATGAAAAAAAAGAAAGAAAAAAATCAAATCATCGAATTAAATTCGGAGTTGTATGCAAAAGAATACCAGAGAGGAATGTGTACAAATAAATGTCTGTCTAGTTTGTTGAATTATATAGAGAAAAATTACAAAAGAATAAAATATATATATATATATATCGAATCACAAAATGACTTGATTGAAAATTCTGTTTTTTTTTTTTCAACAAAAAAACTTCATATCTGATTGTAACGATACGAAAGTTTATTTTTGTCGATATCTAAATCATCTCATGTATAAATTTAACACCCGATACAAACATTGTCCAATAATAACTTTCTTCATCTGTAAAACGTGATGAATATAAATCTTGTACATATCTATTGATTTAAATAAATATATAAAAGAAAAAAAAGAAAATCTTTGTTTTTTATTTCAAAAACAAAAAAAAAAACTTACTGCATAATTGATAGAAGATTTGGCGGATTAGCTTTAACAATAACATAAATTAATATTGGAATTGTATCATCAGCACCAGCAGCTGAATTTGATGCTAAACGAATTAAATTTTGTATTATACGTATACATCGTTGTATACATGCAACTTTATCACGAGGAGTCTATTTGCAAAAACAAAAAACGAAATCATAATTTTCTTTTCTTTATTATTTTCTATGAAAATAATATCATTTACTTTATAGGCATTTATTAAACGAAGTTCAGCTTGAGCTGATGGCCATGGACATTCTCTTTGATATATTTTCTGTATACGTAATTTTTGATGATTAGGATCAAGTTGTTCAGCAAGTGTTCGTATATGACCACTGAAAATTCTATAAGAAAAAAAGAAGAAACTCATTAAGAAATGAAAAAGCAATATTCATACTGATCACGTTGAACATCAATTTGTCCATTTGGATATAATGCAGCTGTATAAAATTTTGCCATAACCATACGTTCAATTGATGTTTGTGACATAGAAAATTGTTCGGGTGAAGCAGCTGTTTTGAAAAATAAAATCTATGAAAAAATTTTTTAATATATATTTGATTTACTTTTCCAATTAATATCAGATGTTATTTCTCGACAACAATCTTGAAGAAATAATTCTATTAAATGCATTTTTTCTTCAGCAATTGATAAATGTAAAAATTTATCAATTAATTTTTGTAATAAATGTTCTTTACAATCAAGAAATAATTTAATAAGATAATTTATAAGATGTTGTTTACATAAATCTTGATCACTAAAAAAAGAAAAAAAAATCAATATTTATTTCTATATTATAAATTGAACGAGAAAAATTCTCGACGCTACAACAAAATTAAGAAAAAATAAAAATGACTCTATTTTCTACACAAAAAAAGGATTTAAACTCCATAATCTGGATAGATCAAAAACAAATTGGTGCGGAAAATTTTATTTGTCTGGAAAACCAGAACATTAAAACTTAAGGAGAATTATAAAAAAAATTTGATCAAATTCAGAAACGGCTTCTCTATCATGTTTGGTACTTAGCTCTTGACATCATAACTTTTGAATGAAAAAAAAGCTATAGACTTTTCTTAGACTTTTAAAGATCTCATCAAAGTTTTACAATGTTATTATCTTCAACATAATAAAACAAACTAAGTATAAATCTTTGGTTTTGTAGACTTCGGTTATAACCAATGTTTAATATCTTCAACAGTTTCATTATTTCAGACGAGAACATTCTTCTATAAAGCGTATAGTTTAATATTTTTTAAGAATTATTAAAAGAAATGTAAGATAATACTTTAACTTTCGAATTGTTTTCTCTTAATAAAAGACTATTGTCACTTAATACTCTTTCATCAAAAAAAGAAATGAATACGAATTTCTTACAAAACTCAAATATTTGTTTATACATTCTAAACGTATATGACAAGAATATAAAGAAGAAAACAAATGTCTTGCTTACCGTTGTATTCGTA